AGGCAGAGGGAGGGAGCGTGGGGCAGGAGCGCCACCTGGGCGTGTGCCAACTGGCCTGACCACCTGAGGGACCCCGGAACACAGGGCAAAAAGTCCAGCGACCTGCAAAAACTTTTTAGTTTGACATAGTCCCAATTTTCTATTTTTGCTTTAGTTGTCTGTGCCTTTATTGTTTTGTTCAAAAAATTGCTGCCCACTCTCATTTCATGTAGTGTTTCCCTTATGTTTTTTTCAATAATTTCATAGTTTAAGGTCTTAAATTCAGGTCTTTGATCCATTTTGAGTTAATTTTTGTGTTTGGTGAGAGAGAGGGGTCTAGTGTCGATCTTCTGCATGTGGATATCTAGTTTTCCCAGCACCATTTGTTGAAGAGGCTATTCTTTCCCCACTGTACATTCTTGGCACCTTTGTCAAAAATCAGTTGGCTGTAAGTGCATGGGTTTATTTCTGGGCTCTCTATTCTGTTCCATTAGTTAGTTTATCTGTTTTTATGCCACTACTATGCTGTTTTGGTTACTATAGCTTTATTGTATATTTTGAAGTCAGCTAGTATGATGCCTCCAAATTTGATCTTTTTGTTTAAAGTTGCTTTGGCTATATGGGGTCTTTTGTGGTTTCATACAAATTTTAAGATTTTTAAAAATTATTTCTATGAAGATGTCACTGGTATTTTGATAGGGATTGCATTGAATCTATATAACGCTCTGGGTAATATGGACATTTTGATAATGTTCATTCTTCCAACCCATGAACAGGGGATGTCTTTCCATTTATTTGTGTATTCTTCAGTTTCTTTCACCAGTGTTTTATATGCTGTAGAGGTCTTCTGCCTCCTTGGTGAAATTTACTCCTAGGTATTTTTTTTATTTATAGCTATTGTGAATTGGATTACTTTCTTGATTTCTTCTTTAGATATTTAGTTTTTGGCATATAGGAACACAATTGATTTTTCTGTTGATTTTGCATCTTGCTACTTTACTGAATTCATTTATTATCTAGTAATTTTTTGGTGGAGTCTTTAGAGTTTTCTATGTATATGATCATGTCAGGGAGTGAACTCTGCAGGGAGTGAACTCTGGCTTTCAGAAATTTACAGGGAGTTTGTGCTCTATCCTCTTTATTTCTTTTTCTTGCATTGCATGCTTAGGTAGGGAAATATCTTTGACAAAGTTGATCAAGGAGATCTCCGAGCCAAAGCCAGTATTTAATGTAAAAATGGGATCCTTAATTTCTGAAGAATGAGCACTCCACTTTCCAGCTATGCTCACTTTTACATGCATAAGTTTTAGACCCCAGAAGTAGTAAATGCATTCAAAAATGGTGAAATCTTACTAAAGTTCTTTTAAAATTATGGTGGAATGTTTAAAATGAACAACAGTGCACTCAAAATTGAGGGCTCCCAAACCAGGCTTATACAGGGATATCTATTGATGTGCAAAAGTTTCCAAAGATTTCAAAAATTGTATTGCCTCTTTAAAAGGCTCTTTTTGAAAGGTGAATAAAAAACTTAAGTGACTAATTGATAAGAAAATTGAATCCACTACCTTTTGGCTCAGTTGCTATCTCACCCCAAAAGCAGTAAAGAAAAAAAAAAAAAAAAACTGGATAAAGTGTTTGTTAAAAAATAGGCCCTCAGGTAAAGTAGGCTTGCTTCTTTTTCACAGCTATCTATGCTGAGTCCAAGCATAGAGAATACTTTCTTTGCCCTATTGGTTCATCCACCTAGGACTCAGTAGTTTTAGCTAAGAAACAGAAGCTAAGTTAAAAAGACCACCTGTTGTACTAAACACGTCTCTAAAATATGATTTTCTGGCATTCAACTGATTATTTTGAATAGACTTCTGAATTTTCTTCTAGGCTCATTTATGTATCTTCTTCTAAAATCCTATGGTAGAATTCTATTATTTTATATTGTCTCAGTGTCCATTTTTTAATCTTTTTGTGTCTTCTCTGACACATCCAACCCCTTCTTGGAAAAGCCTGCATTCTTTCTCTGTGCTTTGAGATGTAAATTTGCTACCTTGCTTTCTCTAAAACTCAGTGAGGACTTCTGCCACATGGAGCAGATAAGCTTTAGCTTGTTTATTTAGAGACACAATTTGAATCCAGCTGTCCTTCAGCTAGTGAGTTTTATATTTTATCTCTCACTACTAAAATTTTAAACAAAAGCTGTAAGATCTTTGTTTCTGTGTTTTGGTTTTTTTTAATCTGTGCATGTATACATGTGTGGGCTGTATGTTGTATCTACATGTTTGTCTATACATGTGTTTGTATATTGCCTACATGGTACCAAATTGGCTTTTAAATAAAGCATGCTCATAAGTAAATAAGCCTAAGTGCTTTTCCCATTTACATGACTTTAATTTTTGGCAAATAAAGCTAGTTTTTAAATTGTTGGTAAAATAGATATGTTTTCAGAATTTGATTTAGACATCTTTGCCTAGGTTTGTTTATTGGTCAAAACAGATTTATACTGTATCTAATAGATGTTTTAAGGTTATAAAATTGTTACTTCTGTGATATTTTTTAATACTTGTTTAATTTGTCTATGGGCTAAAAGCTGTGAAACAGGCTGCTGGGCTTCCTCAGCCTTGCACACATCGTGTTAACCTGCCTTTGGTTCTAAGCCTCTAAATTATGGGGTGTGGACAGGGGCCAAGGTGAGGCATGGGGACATATGTGTCCACAGGATGTGTACCATCAACTGCTATACAAGGCCAAGCCTGATATGATCTCCTTGTTTCAGCTCCACTTCCTGGCCATGCTGGGAGGGACAACATCATTTAGGCATTATCTTTGTGGCCTCTGTTCTCTGTCTTGGGCTCCATGTGGCCACCCTGGATGACACATGGATACTTGGGACCCAGGATGGCTAGGGAAAAAGGTACCTATGTCCAATATCTCAAAGGCCTTAGTTAATACTGTTGATAAAGGTTTACCTTGTTATGAGTAAATCAGACAGATGTGAATGGGTTAAGCACATAAATAAAACTATCATAGTTTCAGAAATTCTTTTCAATAGTTTGAAATTTTAAAGCCATGTTATGTTAAATTAAGTAACAGGTAACCGTGAATGTCTGAGTCATTTCTAAGTAAATTAAAATAATAAAACATTAGTTATTATACATAAGTTTAAGTTTATATACTTTGATGTTTTGTTTTTATGTTTAAAAAAAGCTAAATATATTTGGATCTTTTGAAACATTGAGAAAATATGTCTTTTCAAAAGTTAGGAAATGGTTTATATCTACAAATATTGATATAAAATGGTTCAGAATTGCTTACTTCCTAGGTTTTCACTAGAAACTAAGGTTACTAGAGTGAAAATTATTTTAATTTATATATGGCAATTAAAACCACTTTTTATGTGCTCTTCTGATTGGATAATTTTCTATGATCTGTCCTTGGGCTCACTAATTCTTCCCTCTGTTTGATCAAGTTTGCTGTTGGAGCTTTCTATTGAGTTTTTCAGTCCAGATAATGGATTCTTTATTCCTAAAATTTCTATTTTTTAAAATTAACTCTATTTCTTTGTCAAGTTTCTTGTGCTGCTTCTGGATTGTTTTTTAAATAGCATTTAATTTTCTATCTGTATTTTCTTATGACTCCTTCGTATTTTTAAGAGAACTATTCTAAATTCTATATCAGGGACTGTGGGGGCTTTATAGGTCCCCAAAGTGCCCTGGGTGGGCAATTAATTCATTTAGCTTCAAGAGGAATGGGCCTGAAATTTCTTAGACCACAAGGATAGGCAATCCATTCTTTTGGGCCAAGTAATCTTACTTTTCTACTAAAGTTCAGTGAATAGGCCAATGTAAAGGCTCAAACAATGAATTTATCAAAAGGGAAGAAGAGCTGGAGGGTGAGGCTGGGGTCTGAGAGATGTAGCACAAGATTGTGTGGATCTGATTTCCCAGACTTTCTGCTCTGAATGAGACCTACCAAGGCTTGGGTGGGTACTTGCTGTGTCTTACCCCTGAATTTGTCAGGGTGATTTCTGCTTGACAATCAAAAGCAGACAGTCCCTATCAGGGGCCTTTAATCTTTTCTAAGCACTGACCTCTCTGAGAATCCAAAAGAAGCTGTGAATCTTCTCACCACAAAAGAGCACCAATGTGTTCAAACAAAATTTTCTGTTTCTGTAGTGGCCTCAGTAAAAAATGTAGCTAGCTTCCTGTTCCTGATCTCTGGGCTCCCCACCCCCCCTCCAAGTTTGCTGGGTGGAGAGAAAACGTCAGTGGGTGTTTTTCTCTCTAAAACACCCCTTCTAGCCTCAGTTCTGTTCTATCATGGCTCTCGGCTGTCTCCAGCATTCCTGTGAAGCTCTGAGAAGTAACCTGTACTCTAGAGGATGGGAACGGCATCTGGCTGTGAAACAGCTGCTACTGCCTCTGTTACTCCTGGTGACCAGCATTCAAGGTAATTTCCACAAATGTCTGCCTGTGATTGTACACCAAAGTTGTGTTCAGATGGAAAAAGGGAGATGGGATGTGGCTCAACCCTGGAATTGGGTTCTGCTCTCCAGGCAGCAGGCACTCCCATCTTGTTAGAAGGACTGTTGTGAGTTGAGGGTCCTTACTGAGCCTTGAAAAATCAGGCTCCATCTTCTTTCCCAGGGCTAGCTGATGAAGACAGGATCCTGGGGAGATGGGGAAGTAGATCCGTCATATTTCATGGCTGGTGGCCTGTGAAGTTGTGAAAAAGTGTTTTTGTCTTTTGAATAAGAGAAAGCTCTACACTGATAGCTGCTGCATTTTATGCTCAGACACATTGTATTCCTTAGGAATTCTTCGAGACTTCTATATATGCAAGAAGTCACTTCCTCAGGCAAGGTACATGATATTGCAATTGTCCCAAAGATAGATCAAAATTGTAGGAAAGAAAATTTGGAAAGTATTGCTTTGTCTAGGGTCTCTGAGTGGGGGTCTGAGAAGAGGCCCAAGATGCCTCAGTATCCAAGGAAACCCCAAACATCCGACTGCTAAGAGTTAAGGTCCGTTCCTCTGCCACAGGCCTGTTCCGGTCCCTTGCTTGTGCCCTGGCGCTGAGCTAACTTTCCTTTTGCTGTTATAGCTGCCTGACCCTCTTCCTTCATCCAGTACCTGTGTTCTCAGGCCAGCTGAGAAGCTGGAGTTAAGCTTTTGTCTTTCTTGCTATTCTCCCAAATAAATCCTCAGGTCTTTTTCATTTAAAAGTCTTTAATGCTCACGGCTATTGGTAAAAAATGAGTAAAAAAATGAGCAAACATGGTGAAGTGACTTAACGACATGAAACTATGACAGTATGTAACTTTTAGGGAGATAAGAATAATAATTCTTGGGGAGGAAACCTGGTTGACCCCTCAAACAGGGCCTCTCAGGGTGGCAGTCCTTTGGGTCTGGTTTATGGCTATGTAAGTCTAGAGACATACTGCCTTCAGGGCACTTGTAGCTGTGTGGGCTCCGTGGGGCTTATTCAACACATAGGAAACTGGTCTGGCTTTGGGAGTGGGGCTGGCATGAAGTATTGATGTAACTATTGGGAAAAATAGAGCTGCCAGTGAGAACTGGAATGTGTCAGGACTTTCTCTTGACATGCTGAAAACATCCTGAGAGTTGGTCATTCTCTGACTTTTTCTTTTCTAGGTTTCATCCTGGTCGTTTGTTCAGCACCTTGTTATGTTATCCTTTGAGTGGATAACACTGGTTTTGATTAGGCTAGCACCATACATTTTTATGGCTTAGGTTAATAAAATAAAAATTAAGCATTTATTGTGTGTCAGACACTGTGCAATTCGTACACTTCCTCATTTAACTTTCATTAGAAATTAGTGAGGTGGCTATCATTACCTATGTTTTTCAGATGAGAATACTGTCTTTCAGAGAGATTAAGAAATTCTTGTAAGAGCACACAGGTCTAACTTCCAAACTGTGTTAATATGATTATGCTTTCCTGAGATTAAGCCCAGGGAGTCTTGATGAAGGCCAGTGTGTCTAAATCTCTTTTTGCATAGATTACGCCTACAGACGTTGTCTTATGACCAACTTGTGACTAAATTTAATGTTGCTGTTTGCCTTGAAAGAGGCTTCCTCTCTTCTGGGCCTAGGTACATGCCTTTCCTTCCACCTAGAATTCCCTGCACACTCCTCTTTCCTGCCTCTCCTTTAGGCTTCCATTTTCATAAGACTTCCTCCTGGAAACCTCAGGCTCCAGATTATGGTTTGTGACCGCCTCTCCTTTAGGCTTCCATTTTCATAAGACTTCCTCCTGGAAACCTCAGGCTCCAGATTACGGTTTGTGACCTACTTTTTTTTTTTTGTCTTTTTGTCTTTTTCCATGTCCGGCAACAGATCGCAACCCTCAGTGTTGCCCCCGTACCGGACCGGGGACCGGCAACGGGATTGCAACCCTCGGTGTTGCTCCCGCGCCTCGCTCAGCCAGTGAGCGGGAACTGGTCTGTATGTGGGAT